TGACCGTTCCACTTCCCTCACCCCTTATTTTTAAATTGGGAATAGGGGTCGTGTGCTAGTTCATTTGAAAGGTTATTCAATTCTCTATCCAGTAATATTGACATTGAGATAATTATTTATACAGAGTGTTCAAGAAAAATTATTTTGAATTAAATTAATTTAAACAAAAAGAACAATGAATGTAATTTATTTAAATCAAAATACATTTTACCACTGACAGAAAACAGAAAAAAAATGTTTATTTGATAAATAAACATTGTTTGTTGCTTAAATTCAATAATCAACCTACCAAGAGGAAGATGTGTGGCAGCTTGAACATTAAAACTAAGCGAAAAGCAATGTTTATTTATCAAAAACTGCCACCAGTAATAAACAGGCAACATCTAAGGTGATCTTTAAATTCTTGCAATTCAAGATAATTTCTGGATTTATTGGAACTTTAAAATAGAAATATTTTTTGGTTTGTTTGACACAGTTTAGATACTTAGATAATAATCAATTTATAATGATCAGAATATCTGACGGGTCATTTGACTGCGCAATTACAATTAGCTGGTGTTTTGGACTGTTAATATTAGAAGGTTACCTCGGTTTTTGCAAATACAGTGCGATTGAATAAGTGTTACCCCCTTAATAACTTATTTATTTTTAGCACATAAGAAAAACGCTCGGACAGGTCGATTTTTAAAATAATCATAGTATATTATAGCGTCAATGTTTCAAACTTTACGCAATCCCTTTTCAAGTGACAGGCATAACTTTAATTTTTTTAAATAGCAAAGTACATCATACGACACCTCATTTAAAAGCTTTTGAAATATTGATTACAAAAATGTATACTATTTTAAGCCTTTCTAAGGGCATATGCACAAAATTTAGCTCGAATTATTTTTAAATGTTTTAAATTTTTTTCCAATCCTGAGAAAACTATTAAGTATTTCAGAAAAATTTAAACGCGGAATGAAATATTACTGTATTATCTATGGTCGAAAGTGCTTTTTACTATAATATATCTTAATTTATTCAAGTATTTATTCTAACATCAGAAATTATTAAAATAAAATATTTTTGAGGTTATCGCTATAATTATGACTGAAGTCAAATAGCCACGTCTAATGTCTAAAGGTGTGAGACTATCGATGGTGGTAATGCAATGTAATGTAAATGATAGGTTTCCATTGATTATTTCCCACCTCTATGAGTTTCATCTCTTTTTATTTCACAAGGTAACTGTGTTTTCTATCTCTTACGTTAAAAAGCCGAGTGGTAAAGCACTCATCACTAATATATATATATATATATATATATATATATATATATATATATATATATATATATATATATATATATATATATATAAATATATATATATATATCTTCTTCTTCTTTATAAGCAAAATGCTTGTTCAATGTCGATTAATGCCTCTATTGGAGGTTATCACTCCATCTTTTGCGTGGTCGCCCGATACTTCTACCTTTTGGTGATTTGTCCCTCGCTATTTTGACTAATCGGGTCTCTTTCATTCTGTTTATGTGTTCGTTCCATTCCTTTTTTCTGTTCACTGTCCACTGATATATATATATATATATATATATATATATATATATATATATATATATATATATATATATATATATATATATATATATATATATATCTGGGAGCTATACCTGATATTACATTTTTTTTTCAGTTTGTATATGAAAAAATATATTATATTAATATATTTCATATTATGAAAAAGCCTCTTACTAATATAGAACTAGTAGATATTATTCATAGCTAATAGTATGAAGTACTGGTCTGGTTCAGTACTGATACTGAACCAGATTACGAAAAGTCTGACATTCAGTTGTCCCAACCTGCCTATCAAACTGATCAACAAATTCCTGGAAGTCTTCAAGGTTCAAGATGAGGAGCATCAGCTATTGGATAATCATCAACACACTGTTAACAACAAAGAAGTTAAATATGAAGAAAATGAAGTGTCATTTCTGACCATAATAAAATATTTCCAATAAATTTATTTACTATATTTACCAATGGTACTTTTCAGTACTGTGAATCCTACCTTATAAAAATAGTTTTTAAAGCTGTTTTAATATTTCTGTCAAAAACAGTAACTATTTTAAACAGTGACTACCGGTTTGGTACTAGTGTAGTTGTATGTCCTTAAATTGTATTTAAGATCAAAATTATATTAGCTCTAGCTGGTAAAGTTATTCCGATTTATATTTCTAAACTAATATGGCGAGACTTACATATTGTTTACTAACCTTTTTCCGTTTTTTGGTTTTCTTCAAATGGGTTAATTTCATGTTGTTCTATTTTAGTATTTATGGGATATTTCTTTAAGTCTAAATTATCATATGTCTCATGTATACTTTGCATATTGGATTCTTCCCGAATTTCACATTTAAAGCCATCAAAAAGAATATCATCCAATTCATTATACTCTATTTTTACTTCAGACGTTTCCTCGCTAATTTCTTGTTTTACTTCCATTTGTTTACACTTGATTTTATGTAGATATATGTATCCCAATAATAATTTTACAGCCAAAAAGAGAAATCACAATAAAAATTAGGCTAATTTCTTTTGTTTCCTTTTTTAAGTCAATACCTGGCACATGCCGGCCATCGAGCAAAAAGACAATAGAGGGAATGTAAAGGTAGTGGGGGCAAACATATTGTTAGACAGGAAGTACGATCTTTAGAGGCCACATTAAACAAGGAAAGAGAGTCTCTCTCCTTGTTTGACATCAAATTTCGTTGGGTTATGTTATTGTTTGTCCCAAATGTCACCTGAAATCTTATTTATATTGAAGTTTTTTAACAATTGTGTCGCATTTTAGACTCTTATCATTAATAATTAATTAAAACTTTCTCGTCTAAGACACATTCTGAAAAATATTATATAGCTACTGGTGATAAGTGTCGGAAAATTTAAATTTCGCGCATTCGCATTTCCGGATATGTCCGCCATCAGAGGCCACTTTTTTGGTCTCCTTTTCATAAGGATTAGATTCCCTCTTTTGTCTTATTGCTTGATGATGCCGGCACACTGGCACAGAACAGTATAATATCAGTGAGTGCACAGACCACTAATAAGGGAAGTAGGTGATCTGTGAGTGAGTGGAAGTGCAATGACGTATAATATATAGACTCGGTGAACGCTTTAAAAAGTGTCCAAAACATGAATACCTTTGTTATTGTTTATTGTTTTGATACGAAGGTGCACGAAGTTCATGATTTCTTACGAAGCATCACGAAGTTGATCTAGTGCAGTGATGCCACTCCTCACGATTTATCGTGAGATCTCACGAATTGAAGACAAATCTCACGATCTCACGATTGACGTCTTATATCTTACGATTTCTAAAATTTTTAGGCTGTTACTAAATCCATAGATAAATAATGGGTACCTAATAACATTTATACTAGAAAATCAAAAGCTGGATTTATAGTTTGACGCACTGTAGACGTAGACGTACTGGAGACGTAACAAACGGACTGTAAATATAATTTTAATTTATAAATTGACGGGGTGGAATTTTTGCGCATGAGTAGAAACAGCGGCTAGAGTTGGTGACCATGATATTATAATATCATTTTATTATTTATTATTATTATTTTATAAATTCTTAACCTCCATTGTAACAAATAATCAACAAAATAAAAATTCGACTATGTTAATAAGCAACTTTACAAAATTGTGGGCGTGCCAGACAGTTCATTTTGGTTGACAGCACAAAATTCTTCCTTTTGATTGGCCAGACGCAAGTAACGCACTGTAAAAGTTGAAAGTTGACCAACTCTTCCGTTACAGTGCGTTTCGCTTACGTCCCGTCTTGCGTTTACGTTCATTTATAAATAAGAGTACACAAAAGTCTATGTTGATCTTTTTCCAGTGCGTCTGCGTCTACAGTCCGTCAAACTATAAATCCAGCTTTACTTTATATTTCATCTTCAATAACTTTGAAATCCTACAAGGACCGATAAAATGTTAAATCCTCAGAAAACAAAATGTTTATGTATACCTAATATATATATTATACTTAATATTCTTGGGTAAAATAGGTTTATAATTTTCATTGAAGTTTAAACTATAAAGAATGTTATATCTGATACTGGTGGTTCCCCTAAAATAGGCCCTTTTCTAGTACACTAATTTTTAAGTATGTACTTATAGATTAATTAATATATAACAATACAAAGTATTTAAAATAGTTTTGTATAATTATATATCATTTAAAAACTCCCATTTCCTTCAAAATTCAACTGTAGCGAAATCTCACGATTTCTTACGATTTATTTTTTCCGATCTTACGATTTCTCTTCGACATCATGTGGCATCACTGATCTAGTGTTTGAAAACATCATGGACGTATGAAAACATTTTCTCCATTTTGTGTGACAAGCAAATTTTATTTTAAATTGTTGAAAGTTATTTACTTACTATTTTAGTAAAATGCCATACTATTTTATCAAAATAATTAGTTCTCTTATAGACGGGAACAAAAAGAAATCATAAATATTTAATTTTAATTAAAAAATAATTATTGTCATTAACATATAAATGAGCACGCCGGTGTTGTGATAAACATACCTTCAACCTTCAACCTTGAGCCGAGATCTTTCGGACACTCGATTCTATAGCGAAAATAGGGGACTGCGTAGTCTATATATTATACGTCATTGGTGGAAGTGGAACAAACAATAAACAATCAACAATCAGCAGAACAGAATCTGCCCTGCCCACTCTCGCCAGAGGCCGCTTTTAAAGTTTTTCAGCTCATCAGTAATGTTCCGTGGAGCTTATCTGTGTTTAGTGTCCTTGAGATCAAATGAAAAAAAAATGTTTTTTTTTCCCGTAGTTATCGTCCATCTTTAATTAAAATCTTCAGCGCCCCCTATCGGAATTGGCTATCGCGAATAAAACTTTAAAAAGTTTAAAACAGAAATCTGACGAATCGACTCGTAGCGAAGTCATAAAAAACAGAAGAAGAAGAATTTAAGACAGAAGACAGACGTTAAAATATTTAAAATGAAGTAGAAATTAAAAAAATTTAATATATAAAAATGCCCAACTCAATTGATCCTAAAGAAGTCCTAATATATCTTAACGAATTAGGATATACAAATTTAAGTGCCCAACAATTAAAGGAATTTATTATGGGTGAGTTAAATATTTTTGTACAATAATTCACATATTTACATTCAAACTGCTTTTAGATCTAAAGAAAATAATGAAATACGACCGTAGAAAACGGAAAGTGGAAGCACATTTTGATCCGACAGAAAGCTACAGTCATAGTACTCCTATATTCCCAGATATAAAACAAAAACCAAGAAAAACACAAAGCAATGACATTTTTGAGACACTGCACAATCTTCCTACAGAAGCATCAAAAGCTAAAATGGTGAATAAACGGGCACATCAAATCGAAGTTCACATCACACATGCTAAAAATAAAAATGTAAATCATGAACATTGTGTTCACATAGAAGATAATTCACCAAGCAATGATGCATTGGGTGTAGGTTATAATAAAATTGTTGAGAGTACTGAAAAACATTCAAAGGAAAATATACAGACTCAACCTAATAGTAGTGAACCATCTACAACTAAACAGTTAAGGCCAATGTCCAAGCAAAGTGTTAATAGTTCCTCAGTTCCAAGTTCTAAATTAAAAAAAAGTAAAACGGCAGGTACTGAACAAGATTCGATTTTAATAAAGTATCTGTTGCTTAGTGATGATGTTTAATTTGATATATAATGCCTCTTTATACATATATATTTTAAATATACTTTTGAGAAAGAATTGTTTCTATGCCATAGTTTATTAGGACAGATAAAGTTTTGCAATACCTACCAGAAGGCAGTGGTGCTTTAAACAGTAGTTGTGTGTGGCATGTGGTATTGATATTATTGGCTTTAGAATTTAGCTCACATGCTATAGTTTCTGTTTTAATTAAAAACCTAAATTTTTACAATTTATTAATTCTGTTTTCTATATCTAAAGGTTTTCTAATATATTAATATTAGTCTGTTTCTTTCAGCTCAAAGTTTATCAAATTTCTATTTTTCTCTTTTCTTTATTTTTAATTTTTTTTGTTTTATATATATTTTTTCAGTTATTTTTGAATACACAGGGACAATTAATACACTCAGGCTTCTTTTAGACTGGTTTAGACATAACAATGACCTGACTACAGTTATGGCTACTGATATAACTGTGTTAAACAATGTGTTGAGAAGATATAAAAATTTAAGGCAACATTGTAATCTACTACAAATTTTATTTACTGAAGACATCTCACGTGCTTGTCACATGGGAATACATTCTTGGAGGAGAAAGGCAATGGATAGGGATGACTAGAGAGAAATTCTTGAAGAGACTAGGACCCACCCATGGTTGTAAAGCCAGAATGATGATGATCATGAGGACATCTCACTTTACAATGCTTTTGAATCCATTAGAGTAGTTAGTTAATTAGGACATGTTAGTTCTCAAACAATTCATTGTACAGGGAGATTTTGGCAGTCAATAAAATTTGTAGTAGATGCTTAAACAATCTGTTGTAAAGTGAGATGTCATAACCACTAACAGGAACTCAAACAATGCATTGTAAAGTAAAATGCTTTTTAATCTTTTGAATTTTTAATAGAATATTTGATGTCTTCTATTGTGATATTTGGTCTTTGATGGTTATTTGTTTGTCTCTATTGTTTAATTGTGTCTGGTAGTTCCAATATAAGTTTGGTAGTCTTATTATTTTCTGAATGTTTTTTCTGGTAATTTTTTAAATGATAATTTTAAAAGTACACCCAATAGGTTGTGGTCTGATCCTACATCTGCAAGTGAATATATTGTTACTAATCCTATCACAGTCCTGTGTAGGTTTTTATTATTAGTATAACTATTTGATTGCATATAAGACATTTTTATTTGTTGGTGTTTTCCAAGTGTATAATTTAGGTTTGGGATTTTAAACCATATTTTGGTACCTAATAATTTTCTTTTTCATTTCTTGTTTTCAATTCAAAACACAATCATAAGTTGTCTTACTTCAGCAGTTGGTCCATATATCTGTATAAAATTTATGTTACCAATATAGGATCATTTGTACAATGATAATTCTATTGAGAATAGTAAATTAGATTTGAAATGCAGTAGTTAAGTTGTTGCTAATTGTAGTAACTTCATATATGTGGTTTGTTGTTTTATTGATAAGGCACTTTTTTATTTAATGTGTATAGTAGTAGCACCACATATTTCAGAATATTTTATTTTATGAGTTATTATTTCATTGTCCTACTGTTATATGCCCTTTTTTGTAGTTCTATGTATCATCATCATTCTTGCTATACAACCCTATGTGGGTCCTAGCCTCCTCAAGAATTTCTCTCATCATCATTCTTGCTATACAACCCTATGTGGGTCTTAGCCTCTTCAAGAATTTCTCTCCAGTTATCCCTATCCATCGCCTTTTCCTGCCAAGCATGTATTCTCATATTTCTCATGTATTTATCAATCAAGGAAGCTCATTCTGGATCTTCTTCTCTGCCAATGGGTCCATTCAGGAGTGTTTTTCTAGCTCTATCATCTTGTTCCCTTTGCATTACATGCCCTATGTACCTCAGATATCCTATCTTAATATATTTTATGATATTTGGTTCCTGGTATGTTCTAGAAAGTTTGAAGTTGTATAGTCTTCTCCACACTGCCTGGTCATTCATGCTCCATAGATTTGCCCTATTAGTTTTCTTTCGAAACATTTTAACATGTTTTGTAGTAATTTTCAGTATTAACGAGCACTCCCAGGTATAAAAAATTCTTTCACTGCTTTGATGAGGTCGTTTTCATAACAATTTGTTGCTAATTGTAGCAACTTCATATATGTGGTTTGTTGTTTTATTGATAAGGCACATTTTTTTATTTAATTTGTATAGTAGTAGCACCACATATTGGAAAATCTTTTGTTTTAACAGTTAATATTTAATTGTCACAGTTACTTATATGCCCCTTGTTTGTAGTTCTATGTATCCTGCAGAAAAAAAAAAAATGGATAATATTAGCACTAACAATTTTTATATATATTTTGCAGTTCTTAAAAATAAATCCAATATAAAACCCATACGAAAGTCAGACCCAGTAGCTCTCTATCACCAGTATCAAGAAGAATGGAAAAATATCAAATTTCCAGGAGAAGACAACCACCTGGATTTAAGGTGGGCTGTGAGGGAAAAGCTTATGGACGGACCTCCAATAGAGAAACCTGTTAAGAGAATTACTACTAAGAAAAAAGCATTTTAAATATAAGGTTTAAAATTAAATATTTTTGTACCTATGTTATGTTTATTATGAAAGTAATAATTCATATTGATGTAAATATATTTTAAGAACAAAATTTCAATAGAAATATAGATAACACAGGCCTACAATTTTATTTTCATGAAAAAGTGTTTTAAGTTGAATAGGTGTCCTATAGTAAATGGGATATGCTGATCACGAATCTGTACTTAGTTTTTTTCCAGCAGGTCAGGTTTTCAAGAAAAGTGTGTTTGAAATTTTTCATAGAAACTGCCCAAAATGGCAGATGGAGAAAATATTTATTGAAACCTTACCTATTTAATATAAAATTACACTGCAAAATTGAATTGTTAAAAAAAGAGTTCAGTGTAACCTACGTTGGACAATATTTGTTGCTTTTTATTAAAACCGTTCTCTTTTTCCATGAAAACTGCATTTTGTGGTCTTTTTATGAATTTTTGTGATCGAGTCTCTCTTCAAGGTCCAGCAGTAATCAGCCATCATTCTTATATCCCATCTTCCTTAGTAACGTCTGTCCATCTCCTTTATATCTAGATGGAACCTTTCTCCAGCTCCTCGCTAACAGCTCCACGATTTTCGAGAAAATAGTCAACATGGTAACCAAAAAAAAATGAAATGAGAAAAGGCAGCAAATATTTGATTTCACGCAAACAAATCCTATGTATCTCTTGATACGTATTTCGACCTAATAGGTCTCGTCAGAAGAGCTATTCATAGGGGTTCTCAACGTGAAAAATCAATATTTTCTGCCTTTTAAGAAGCAACAATAACATGGCTTTAATACGGACGCACTAGCGACATCTAATTAAACAATCGTAAAATAGTTTCGAAACACAATTCAGATTTCTGCTTTATAATCTGAGCCTTCTAAGAATTGCAAGGCAAACAGACGTTAATAAAAGAGACATGGGGAATCTAAAATTTGCATTCCACGATATGTCTTTTACAACTAAGCAGAAATCCTTAGCGAATTGTGCTTCTAGTACTCCCACAGAGTAAATCCGAATAAAATGAGAAAAGGCAGCAAATATTTGATTTCACGCAAACAAATCTTATGTATCTCTTGATACGTATTTCGACCTAATAGGTCTCGTCAGAAGAGCCGTTCATAGGGGTTCTCAACGTGAAAAATCAATATTTTCTGCCTTTTAAGAAGTAACAATAACATGGCTTCAATACGGACGCACTAGCGACATCTAATTAAACAATCGTAAAATAGTTTCGAAACACAATTCAGATTTCTGCTTTATAATCTGAGCCTTCTAAGAATTGCAAGGCAAACAGAAGTTGATAAAAGATGTTAAAAGAGACATGGGGAATCTAAAATTTGCATTCCACGACATGTCTTTTACAACTAAGCAGAAATCCTTAGCGAATTGTGCTTCTAGTACTCCCACAGAGTAAATCCGAATAAAATGAGAAAAGGCAGCAAATATTTGATTTCACGCAAACAAATCCTATGTATCTCTTGATACGTATTTCGACCTAATAGGTCTCGTCAGAAGAGCTATTCATAGGGGTTCTCAACGTGAAAAATCAATATTTTCTGCCTTTTAAGAAGCAACAATAACATGGCTTCAATACGGACGCACTAGCGACATCTAATTAAACAATCGTAAAATAGTTTCGAAACACAATTCAGATTTCTGCTTTATAATCTGAGCCTTCTAAGAATTGCAAGGCAAACAGACGTTGATAAAAGATGTTAAAAAATGAAGTTTGAAGACCATATATTGCATCCCAGTTTTTTTATAATTTCCGAACATGTTAACTACAATTTGTTTATAGTCTGGAGACTTGTTTACAAGAAAACCGTCTATGAGTTCTACGAAAGAACTTTATGCTTCACATTCATCCTTTGTCATTGTATTCTCGAATAATCTGTCCGATTTTAAGTTTCGAATTTGAGGACCTACAAAAATTCGTTCTTTAAGTTTAGCTTTAGAAAGTGCAGAAAATTTGTCGCACAGATATTTAAAGCAGTCACATTGTATATCTAAAGTTTTGAAAAACTGCTTCATTAATCCTAACTTTATGTGAAGAGGGGGCGAAAGAATTAATTTGAGGTCAATGTATCACGTTGCACATTTTTTTGTCCCGGTACTAGTCTTTCTCTGAGTGGCCACTCTTTCTTACCGTGCTCGAGTGTGTCACTCGTATAAAAAACATGGATACTAAGTGAATCTAGACTGCTGACCCAAAAGCATGGATATTATTTTGAGATCTCCACAGAATTGCCAAAAATATTCGCTATACTTTATTTCAGATTCACGGAGTGAGCAACAGGTACTGAGGCACAAGTATTACCATTGTGCAACAATGACATTCTTAAGACTTTTCTTAGAAGAATCAATACATAACCGCCATGATGTGGAATCGGAATTGTCAGCTCCCAGTTTCATAACTACTTCAGAAATATTATGACAATACACCCGTGAGCCCTTTTGAGAAAAATATTCCGCGACAATTTTTTGATGATGCCTATACCACGAATATGTGGTACCTGGAGCCAATAGATTTTTTATCTTTCAGTCGTGATCGTAAGATTTGTGCAGCATCCTTCGATAGGCCCAAGTCTCTCACTAAGTCATTTAGTTCAGCTTTTGAGGTTGGTCTATCTCAGGATTCATCTTCATCGGTTTTTTCGTCTGAACTTTCATCTGATGATTGCTATTGGATGGTGTGAAGAAAAGTTGGAGGAATAGGGATTCCTAGTGATACAGGTCGTTTAGCAGAAGGTACCCTAATAGCACATGTACGTCCCTCGAACGTCCGCTTTAGTCTTATTTACGTCCTATATTGGTCCGAATGTCGCTGCGCCAAACGTCCTAAGGACGTCCATTTTACGTCCCGAGCGGACGTAAAATGGACGTACCGGGACGTTAATTGGACCTTAATCGGACGTCCATAATACGTCCAGAGGACTTACTTGCCGGACTTTTGTGATGTTTTCGGACATCTATTTTAACGCTGAGGATGTAAATTGTACGTCAACGCCATTGTATAAAGTACTAAAAGTGGTGTCATCCTGTCCATATTAAGAATGTATTTTGACAAATAAAACGTAAATGTTAAAAGAAACTTAAAATTTATTATTTCATTTATTTATATTTATTTATTATTAACAAACGGGACAAATCCACTGTCAAAATTATGCAAAAATGCAACATTATAGAAATATAAAATAATTTTGTGTAATAAAACATAAAGGTTTAAAGGAACTAACATGTATTATTACATATATTTATTTATTAATAACAAATGGAACAAATTCACTGTCAAAATTATACAAAAATGCAACATTATAGAAATATAGACAAAATTACAGATAAAATAAAATATACATGAATAAAATAAATAAGTACACATTTATAATAAGTTTCATTATAAATCTAATCAACATAAAAATGGTTTTTAATGCAATTATAACATAATCAGTGTAAATTAGTAGAAGTTGAACGACTAGACAGTACCTACGTAAACCACCCTGACCAGTATGAAGGTGATTCTTCAAATTTACTGTCAAAAAATCCGTCAGTAAAGCCTCGACAATTTTAGGAATAGCAGAAAGAATTATAATGGAACGATATTTAGGAATCAATGAGTTAAGGATAAAATCAATAAATAAATTGTGATAAAAAGTGGCCCTCAGTCAGAGATTTATAAAAAATAAGCCATAGATGCTTACATAAAAAGAATGCACAATTTCTTAAAAATAAGTTAAGATATTATGTCTGGACCAAGACCTTTATTGGTATTAAGACACGGTTAAGCATGCGTCACAAATTTTAATAGTTAAAAGAGTGAATATGGCTGTGACTGGTATGGGATCTTTGACTACACTTGTCTACACAAGAGAAAGAAGGATTGTGAATACTGCTAAAGAAATTGATAAAATTGTTGAAATTGTGGTTCTTAAAAACAGAACCATTCAACTTCCCTTATCTCTTCCCATTCTGATTTCCCTTACAATTGTGTGGTCAGCAATTAAAAGCAGACAAGTCAATTGTTGAGTTTTAAAGTTGAAACCATAAGTATAAAAAAGATCAATACCTAATATGGAACTTTGTTTTCTTTCAACAGTAGATTAATTTTTAGATATTTATTTTTAAGATATAAAACAGTCTCAAAAATTGGACTGTTCCTTTCTGTCCATGAACCACACAATTTAATCATTACAAAATTAATCATATTTGCTAATGCAACATGCAAGTTAAATTTTATCTGCCCTCTCTTTAAATATTTCCTCAGGTATTTCATTATCAAGTTTCAACTTCCTTCCCCATGGCAACACTGGTTTTGGAGTTTTTCCAAGCAACATCTGAAAACAAAATTAATGTATATTCATAAATTGAACAAACTAATTTCAGATTTAGTTCATTATACTTTGCTTCTTGTGAATAAATCATAATTCAAAGTAAAATTAAACACACGAATTTCAAGTGCTGTAGTTTTAACGAATCTCACCTGAATTAGAAAAATACCAACCCAACCATTAGTATTCATTTCTAATAACCAAATGAGCAGTAATTACCTACACTTTAAACGTAAAAAATAAAAATAACTGTATAAATAAAATATATGGCCAACAACAAACCTTTATCTCATAAGCTAGCTGTAGTTCTTAAAGAAATCTCATAGCCAGACCTGATCATTTATGAGTTGGTAAAATTTGCCATCTAAATTACATATAAGACACACTTAACAATATGCTTCATCGGCTGTATGTGGCCACTTAAGAGATAGTGTAAATTTTTAAATGTATCTTAAATTGATTTATGTTTACAAGTTACAAACCTTTTAAAATCAGAGCTATATGTGTGTCCTCAAAAGCTTTATATTGCTTTTTCCCTAGCCAACTGTCTTTTCCTTGAATTTTATTCCAGATCAGCTTCTTATGGCTTCTCCTAATAAATTCATTTATGGTCTCCTCACCAATTTTGGAAAGCTCATTATCCTAAAATATAAATCAATATGTAACA